GTTTTCAAAGCCCCTAGTCAACCACATCCTCACACCTCCTCTCTCCTTTTCTATTTTTTCCATACTGTTATGAACACTAGAAAGCCTCCCCATACATAATAATTTGAGTCAACTGTATCTCCCTCCTCCACTTTTCTGTCATTATTTAGAAATTATGAACCTTTTAAGGCCATGTACTTTGAATTAAATCTTATCTGCTGCTGACTAAGCTTTCAAAAATGCCCATCCACGTATTTATTCATTCACCTTTCTATTCACACAGCTACTTATTTATAAATGTAATGTTTGTAGTAAAAAATGAAATATTTGTTTATTGTACTTTTATTAGTGTCTATATAAATAATAGCAATTCTCCCCATCTCTGGCAGGGAGCAGGGCTGTGCAGAAAAGCCTGACTACAAAGTGCTGGCCTTACATCTTAATCCAATCCTCACAATACAACTTCAGTTGTTGGGATTTGGGAGTATTCAGATAATGAGCCAAACAATTTTTCTACATTCTCCACACAACTGACAGAATTTCAGAGCTGGCAACAGTGCTTCCATAGGAAGATGAAGAAATGAATGGATAAAGTCTCACATGTTAGGATCACAAACCTGAGTGGAATTAAATTAGGATCCAAGTATCTGAAGTCTCAGTGTGTTGGTTTCTACTTCTCACACACATAAACACTATGGTATTTGTAATCATGCATTATTAAAAAGTTGACAACATGGAACAAGGCTAGGAAAGTATGTCTTCATCATTATGTGAAAAAAGTCAATTTTGCCCTAATAAAAATTAGAAGTTTTTGTCTTTATTCCCATTTATATAAAGGTGAAGATTAAATAAAGAGTCCCAGGTGGGTCTCACTAAGTGTAAGTTCAAAAACCTAATGTGAATTGCTATAATCATTGTTAAGTTGCCAGACATCAAAATGTAAGTAGAAACAACACATGTGGCTAAGAATTTAAATTGACTGAACCAATTGTTTAATGTGAATTTATGGAATTTACCTATTATTCTTAGTAAAAAGAGAACATAATTGATAAACAAAATAGAAAATTACTATTAAATATATTCATATTTTGCTGAATATGGTGATGCACATCTCTAATACTAGCACCTGGGAGAAAAAAGCAGGAGAGGTAAGAGGTTTCAGATCATCTGCAGGTACATATCAAGTTTCAGGCAAGCGTGGACTATGTAAGACCCTGTTTCAAATTAAATAAAACAACAAATATAACTATATGCATACTGTGTATGCTCTATGGATGTGTTCATGTATATGTGTAAGTGTGCAGGCAGATGTGTATGTGGAGGTTGAAGGCTGAAATAAGATGTGTTACATAACTGTCCATCTTATTTTTTTTTGAGACAGTTTCCACTGAACTGTGAGGTTGCCAATTGCCTACTCTGCTTGGCCAGCTAGTCCCTGGAATTCTCCTCTCTCTACCTCTCCAGCGTTGGGATTACAGATAAAAGCTTCTATGCCTATGGGTGCTGGGCATCCAAATACGAATTGCCATTCATGTGCTGTGTTCTAGTTTGTTCTCTGTTGTTGCAATAAACACCATGGATGAATGCAACTTGCATATGGAAGGGTTTACTTGGCTTATATTTCCACTATAATTGAAGGCACTTGGAAAAGGAACTCAAGCAGGAATCTTGAGGCAGGAACTGATGCAGAGACTGAGAAGAGTGCTGCTTACTGACGTGCCTTTGTTTTGTAAAACCCAAGACTACCTGCCTAAATGTAACACTATCCACAGTAGGTTTAGCTCCTCTCCATAGATCAGTCAATAAATCAAAAAAATAAATGTCCCATAGACTTGCCTATAGATCAGTTGGATGGACATGTTTTCTCAACTGAGGTTTCCTCTTCCTAGATGACTCTAATCTGTGTCAAGTTGACCACAAATCTAACAAGCGCATGTTAACTGAATTATTTTTCCTGTTGCTAATATATTCATTTTGAACTGTGGCCTATTTTAGAAGTTAACTGAACACAAAAGGGAGAAATTTAAGAACCTCAAATAATAAATGTACCATTAAGCAACACTTTTACAAATGACTTGATTGATGAGACTGAATTAATATGAGTTATTTTGTGTCACAACCAGGATCTAGACTGAATAGTGGATAGTCATCATCTGGGTTAAAGCCAAGCCATATGATATTAGTTATTAAGATGAGAGAGAGATTTCTTGTTCACATAGATTAGCACTGACTGGACCATAAAACCTCAGGGAACAATTCAGCTGGGGACAAAGGAAAGATCTAGAGAATTTATTTTTAAAATAGTACTCTCTGAGTCTATCTTCAAAGATTATGATTTAATTGCTGAGAAATGGATTAATAACAGGTAATGTTTAGAAGACCTAAGTTGTCTTTAAAGTCACGTTTAAGGCCCATTTGTATAGGAAACAATGGTGCAGGGGAACGGAGAGAATTTAAGATAGTTCCCATGCCACCAGGCAGTTTGTAGGAGCACAGGCGAGCAGTGCTTGCACATTGCTGGTAGTATATTTCTGTTGTTGCCTGATTCCCAGCAGAGAGAAAATGAAAAATTAAAAATGGAAGTGGATTTGGTGGAATTGTTAATTGATAGGTGTCAGGGTACCTCCGAGAAAGAACAGTAAAACTTAATTTAGGGCTGGCATACAGCTTAGTGGCAGAACACTTGTCTGGCAGGTACAAAAGGTCCAAATGATTTTGATTTTCATAATACCAACAATTGTAAGGAGAATTAAGAACATTCTAATCAAAATAATAACTTTTTAAATTGCTAGTAGCACAAAACATCATGATATAAACTAGAAAGGCTACGACTCATATGTTTTAAGTTTTATGTTAATTAAGTAAACAAAACAATTTAAAGCCAACATAAGTTACTTAAACAACAAAATAGAACATTGTTATTAGGTAATTGCAGCCCATTAATACTAGTAAGTTATTAATAATCAATATTTATCCATGCTCCAAGATATGAAATAAGTTTCTATTTCTTAGAAAGGGGACTATTTTCAACTAAGCAAGATTTTGAATAGTAAGGCTATGAGAATTATCATGAGAAATCATCTAGATGTGAATAATCTAATGAGCAGGACTGTTCAAAATCATATTTTTAATTATACTTGCGTTTTTAATACACTTAAATGATTTATAATTTACAAAACTCACAATTATAAACACATATGTTCATATATGTTTTATTTGAAAGCATATTTATAAGAGTAGACAGTTATTGCAGACCTGCCAACACATTTAAAAAGATTTATTTTTATTTATGTGTATGTGTGTGTATGAGACATGTGTGCAGGTATCTATGGAGGCCAGAAAAGGTATTGAATTCCCTGAAGTTGCAAAGGGTTGAACTGCCTAATGTGAGAAACTCACTTGAATCCTCTGCAAGAGCAACGAGCACTCTTAACTGTTGAGCCACCTCTCTAGCACAAAGGAAAATTTAAATAATAATTTCAAAAAGGCAACCTTTTTTTAATTCTTTAATTACTACTCATATTTACATATCCATTACCCCCATTCCCTTGCCCTCCCATCCTCTCATGTTCCCCATCAATCCCCCCAACCCATCCCCCAACTCTTCCCCAGGGGTAGTGAGGTCCTTCGGGAACACCTTCAAAGTCCGTCATATCATTTCGGGGAGGGCCTAGGCCCTCCTTGCTGTATCTGTCTCCCTCTGTCAAGGCATCTCCTTTATTGCCCTCCTCTATTCCTCCCTGTCTCAGTCCTTTTGTTCTCTTTCCCCTCCCCTCACCCTCACACCTCCTTCCTCTCCCCTCAGCTCCCACTTTGATCAGGGGTTCTTGTCCCTATCCCCTTCTTCTAGGGACTATGCAATCTTCTCTTGGGGTCCCCCTTGTTTCCTAGCTCCTCTGGCAGTGTGCAATGTAGACTGGTAATCCTTTGCTCTATGTCTAAAAATGAAAGATGAGTGAGTAATACCATGTTTATCTTTTTGTGATTGGATTACCTCACTCAGGATGGTTTTCTTCTAGTTCCATCCATTTGCCTGCGAATTTCAAGATTCCACTGTTAAAAAGGCAACCTCTATAAACCAATAGGATTCTGAGATTCTTACCAATAAAGTCACAATTCTTGTGTGTGTGTGTGTGTGTGTGTGTGTGTGTGTGTGTGTGGTGTGCATAAGTATGCACATGGGTATAGGAACTTGTATATGAGTGTGAAGTGGTCACATGTGGTGTCTACCACAATATTTTGAGACTGTATCTCTCACTGAACCTGGACCTCACTGATTGGCTGGATTGGCTAACAAAGAACCCAGGGTTTCTCCACTTTTACCTTCCAGCACTGGTACTACAGGCATACAATGTAAAATTCAGAAATTGAAAACAGACAATATGTACATCAATGGATGAATAGATAAAGAAAGTGTAGTGCATTTTCCAGCTGTTGGAAAAACTGGAATCATGAAATTCACAGATAAATGGATGTAACTTGAAGAAAGTCATCCAGAGTGAGGTAACCCAAATCCCAAAAGTCAGATATGGTATGTATTCACTTATATGTGGATGTCAGCTTTTGAGTCTTCTATAAGCAAGCTACATTCTGCATAACCACAGAGGTTCAGTATAGTGTTAGGAACTGGGGCAGGGTGATTGAATCAAGCCCTCCCCCCATTGCTCCTGCTTCAAGGTTGAGCAAGGCATCCCACCATATGGAATGGGCTTCAAAAAGCCTGCTCAATGCATGAACATTTTTAGGAAGGAAATTTTTGCCTACTACAAGCCTTTATTAGGCCTATACTCTGATCCCAGAGACAGGGTGAACCCTCAATGCTTCCCCTAGATAAGCTTGTAGGTATTTTCAGGTAATTGAAACACAATACATCAGTGTCATGACTCAAGTCATTTGCACATAAAAGCAATAAGTGCTGCAGAGGGAACAGCCATGGTCAAGAGAGAAGGAAAGATACTGCCTGCAACAGTATGTTGATATGTTTATTTGATTTTTTCTTTTATTTATCATTTGTCACCCAGGTTCTGAGACTCTGGGATATTCAACACCAGCTGTCCATTCAAAGGATAGCTTGTTCTTTCCCCAAAAGTCAAGACTTCAGGTGCCTTTTCCACTTTGATGAAGGCCATGGACGACTTTTCATCTCCTTCAATAATCAGCTTGCCTTGTTGGCCATGAAAAATGAAGCCAGCCAGAGGGTGAAGAGCCATGCAAAAGGGGTTACCTGTGTCCTTTACAATTCCCTCCTGAAGCAGGTAAATACTAAAGTTATTCTCTTCCACTGTCCTGACATATTACGAAGGCCAGGTGGTTCCTTTCCTCAATTTTACCTAATATAAAACCGAAGGTGATGGTCACCTTCTGTTGCAAAGAGAACTTTCCTTCATGAAGGTTATGGACTACACTGACCAATGGGTATAAGAACAAATATTTAGAATGTAGTAGGGATTATGTTGCTTTAGTAAAGTGGCAGTTCCTCCATCACGAACAGAACAAAGACAACAATAGGCATGCCAAAATGGATGGGGGAAAGACTGCAAGGTGCTACACCAAGAACTATAGCAACCAAGGGATGCTGAGAGTGGGAGAAATAGTCTTCCCCAGAGGAGAGCACATCTATTGGTTATTCAGTATCAGATTGTCATCACCAAAACCATACCTAACAGTTACATTATATAGACAGAGCAGGTCATATTTAGGAATATATATTTTAATAAATAAACATATATATGTAAGAGCAATTAGTGAGAAAAGAGGCATGCATTTGAAAGAGAGCAAAGAGGGTGGCTATCTGGGAGGTTTGTGAGGAAGGAAAGGGAAGGGAGAAATGATGTAAATATATTACAGTCTCAAAAATATAATTAAAAAAATCACAATGGTGGATCTAATAAACAGCACAGTGGCAGGAAATGATTGAACAGCCACATGCTCTTCTGTAGTATGTCTGTGTGTCCAGGTACATTCAAAGGGGGATTGCATTTTCTGTCTGCTCACAACAGCAGCCCTAACAGAGTTATAAGGAATCATAGTATTTGTGTTAAAGTCGACATAACCCACAATGCCATCATACTTATCTTCATTAACCACTAATGCAGGTTTTTGAGCCAAAATGCAGGTATACCTAGTTATAAAATTTCCTTTTACGATCACCACACTCTTGTATCCCCATGGAAAGTTCTGAAATATGCATGAAATGTAATTAGCAAAGATCCATTTTTTTCCAGCATATTTTACACCAGTGGCTGAAAGTGGCAGCATGGAATGTATTCATAAGAAAATGATTCAGTTAAATGTGATTCCACTTGGTATGCAGCTCGAGTGTTGTTTGTCTCCCCACCACTTTAACGACACTGCAGCCTTTGCGTATGGGATCGCTACCTGAATCTCAATGAAGCTCAGCTCCTCAGGAGCCTGATGCCACACAGATCCTGGCCCTTCCTAGAGGACCAGGCAAGCTGGCAGTGGGATCGGGGGTGAGTGTGGTGGAAGGAACAGGCACCACTAGAGTTCAGTCTCTTGCCATTATCACCTCAGGCCCAGTGGAAACAGTGATACAGAAAGCCATTCTTCAGCTCGTGACCACCTAAACAATACCTCCAGCCCATTCTTGCTCTTCAAGGCTGAGGAAGCTTCTGCACTGGCTCAGAAACATGAAGGCACTTCGTTAGTAATAAGTATTGTGTCATGTCACCACTTCAAACGCTCTGTTTTCTGGTTATTCTAGGAGATAAAAATCCTTGACAAAACAATTCAGTGCGAATTCCATCTGCACAGAAACATTCTCCCGCAAATGTTTTACTGAACTTCATGATGGCAACTGGTTAATTTGGCTCCCTGGTGGCTGCTGAGAGCTGGCCGCATTTGTTTCCCAGAGAACATTTTGCTAATTGAAATCTGCAAAGTGAAAATGCCATATTTGTGTGTCGATCTTTAAGATCCTGTGTTGTCTAGCTATAAAATAAGTTATAGTCCATGAGGAATTATGCTGGCAGGACACAGAAAAGAACTGGAATCTTCCACTTGGGAGTTGAAAATAAAACCAAGGTTACATAGGAAGGCTATAGAGACAAAGGAATATGGCCTTGTGACAGATGGTACAGGAAGCTTCCCTGAAGAGTCAAGTGTATCAGTATTTGTTCCTATGTCTAACATCATTAATGACTAAAAATTAACTTCAAAGCACATAAGTGAGTGTATTACATCATAGGAATGCATTCTAGAAAAATCTGTACTGCCAACATGCTCAACAAGTTAATACTTTAGAATAGTTGGACAAATAAAATTAACATGTTTTTTGAACATGTATCAGGTGTAAGAAATGAAGGAAAGATTAGTAAGCTGTCATCCTTATCTCCCAACCCCTAGTAGCTCAGGGAGACTGTTCTGTAGGGCAGACCTCTATCACACTCTCAGACTCATTGTTAGGCAGATACTCATCACAGAATGGAAAACCAAAGAAGAGAGAGATGAAAAAGTGAGCAGTGGTGCCTTGAGTAGGAGTTGGAAGAACTTTCAGCTGTACCCTGCAAGCTAGCATGGGAATCTTAGAAAAAGACTTATCTCCAACCAGAAGACACAACAGGAGCACCAGAGAAGCTTGGTGTGCACTGTGAATTTATGGGGACAGATTTAGTTTGGGAGTTCTTACAGGAGCCTAGATAGGCTACACAGCTTGAAGCCAGAGTATGGATGCTCTTTACTGCTATTTACATTTGGTCTCAGAAAATACAGCACAGACTTGAGGTTAAAACGGTTTTTATATTGTGATCTCAATCCCTAGGAGCCTGAAGTCTTCAGGCAGTATGAGATGTCAAGAATATTTTTAATGTCAGTTCTTTCCCAGCTCTGCTGTAGAGTTTTCTAGAGGAACACGATGCAAGATGACATAAATTGCTCTGGCAGCTAAGGGAATGTATGCTCTTGTATTTTGTTTTAACAGTTAACACTTTAAATGTGCAATGTGATAAATTAATACATGTGTAAATGTAAATTTGTCTCCTTTATTTATATTAGTGTATATATTTTATTGACTATAAATGAGAGCTGGTTGATTCCATGATGATTTATAAAACTGGAAAGAGATCTCAAGATTAAAAGTTTTGAGAACTGCTGAGATAGAAAGGTGAGGTTGGGATGCTGGACAGGTTACTGACCTCACTTTCCAAAGTGTGCCTGAGAGGATTCAATCTCAGTGCATCACTGTGCTTTTCCAGGATTGCCTTGTTAGTGGCTGGCTGCTGGTCCCTTCAGTGTAGTCCTCTGCTTCTATCTTTATGTATTGAAAAGGCTTTCCCAGCTCCATAGCTCTTCCCATGACTGCCATTGTCTTGAGGAATATGGTTTTCTTAGTAACTTCCTAGAATTTCTTAATCTTTTGAATATCTATCTATCTATCTATCTATCTATCTATCTATCTATCTATCTATCTATCTATATCAAGGCCTCACAGTGAACCTAGAGTACATTAATTTGATTAGTTTTGATAGCCAGCCTGGTCTGGGGTTCCTTAGACCTGGGACTAAAGACAGGTCACCATGCATAGTTGTCATTTACACAGATGCTGAACTATGGTCCTCATGCTTTCACAATGAGCACTTCAGCTGGTAAGTCATCTCCCCAGCACCTACCTCATTTTTTTAAGGCAGAGTAGGATCTCTTAGTATGTGATTTTGCAGATTCATTTTCTTTGATGGTTATTTTGCTCTTATGATGCTGTTGCATGTAAATATATTCATACTCATGATTTTATTGCTTAGGGGAAATTCTTGGAAATGGATTTCTAGGTTAGATGATGTCCATATTTGATAATTAGATACACAGCTTGCCTCTTGAATTTTAGCATTATCTACCCTCCAAATGCACTTGTATTAATCACATCTATGGTCACTTCAAGGGATTTGTTTGACAGTGGCCATCTGGCTTCCTTCAGCTCTCCCAACATCCTTGCTGATGTCCCTGAAAATGATCATAGGTCATGTGCTGTGCAAATTTGCAGACTGGGACTTGTGACTTTATTCCATGTGGAGCTGTTTTTGATGGTCAAGTCTCATATTTTCACAGAAATTCAAGTAAAATAATATATTAAATATTGAGCCACAGGCCCCGCCTTCTTTTTTGCACATCTATTATTTGGGGGTGGGGCAGGTGAATGAGTATTGATTTATTTGAGAATTTCAACAGTTTAAGTGTTAATTCTGTTAGTAATTGTAAAATTGGAGGTAAGAGGTAAGGTAGAATTGATGGAAAGCATTATCTATACCTTACAAGACATGCCACATTTTTACTACTTGTATTCAGGGCAAAGTCAGTAAGATTTCCTTTTGAACAGAACCGAAAGAAAACAAATGATGATATTTTCTTTGTTGCCTTATTGTTAGGCTCCAAGGGACACATTTTGTTTTAACTGAAAACTGTAATTGATTATAAATCAGTCTCGAGACCATGTGCTCTAATCACATGATAAATGAGTATGGTCTACCCCAGTCTTATGGGTTGCACTACCACACACACACACACACACACACACACACACACACACACACACACACACAACTTATTTTATTACACGTGATTATTTGAAAGGATTAGCACTCTTGTCAAAAAAGATAAAACTTTTAATATATACTCAGATTTTTTTCCTCTGGAGGCAAGGGGTTTTCTGAATTTGATGAGCACCTTTCAGTGTTATATTATTCATTTTTATAATATAAGTGTTGCTGCTATTGCAGCATATAAAATATAATTATAAGTTTCTCCAGGTTTGCTTACAAAGGCAGAGGAGTGACAGGGCTGGGAGACATGGATGACCACTTCACTTTTTATTAATTGAAACAGAAAAACACTTCCTTGGGGCAGACAAAGGATTGCCTGTTTTTCAAGTTAAATATTTGCAGAAGCTTTTCACTGATAACTTCCACCAACTCCACCTAGGAGGTACAAAGGAGTTTCTCATGGGGTCTCCCACTGGTGCTCCTCTAGAGGAGACCTACAGGGTCCATTTTGACTGAGAGGTAGTAATACCTGACAATTTTAGGCATTAATCAAGTCGGTAACCAAAATCTCCTGGTGCTACTATACTGCCATCCACAGCGGTGCAAAATAGGTAATAACTGGAGGCCAGCCTGGACCCCAACATCCTATACCCCCCATACTGGAGAACCTGAGCAAGGGCCACCGCCTTTACCTCCTAGGGAGGACCTTTACCACCAGAGTTAAAAACTGCAGGGCACCTCTTTCATGCCCAGGGAAGCAGGTT